TTCTTTATCCAGTCACCTGTTGATGGGAAATGTCTATTTTTTCTTATTATTGGTGGGTTAACACATATTTTAAATAGTAATTTAGTACTAGCAAGTATCAACCACTTCTTAACATTTAGTAGATCGTATGGGTGTGTTTGTGTGTGTGCACACATGCATGCATACAGGCTCATTGGTTTTATATCAGTTTTCCTAATTTTTATTTCTCTTCTCCTTCCCACCCTACTCCTTCACACATACACAAACACACACACACACACACACACCCTGTTTCTCCCCTCTCAAACTCAATCCTATAGTGAAATTACCGGGAAAGTCAGAAATATTCGTAACATTAATCTTGTATAACTAGGATTTAGGAAAAAAAAAATCAAGATTTAGATTTTTGTCAAAGGATCCTTAATTTTGTTGTATGCACTGTGTCTCTATCAAGAGCTTTTGCATAGGTAGAGATCCTAAAATAAGGAAGGGGTAATGCACATTTATGTGCCAACAAAATCATCTTTGATTTTCCTGAAATATTTCAAGCCTCTTTTTGCCCCATCAGGAGTTATTTTTAGTTGCTCTGAGTAGGCAATCTGCCTTGTTGTGAAATTTTCTGGAACACCCTTTAACAATAAATCACTCACTCTAGAGCAGATCGAGAGCTCTCGCTGTTTTTCCCCTCTGATTGGGCTATTTAGTGATGCTTGTGGAGTGGAGAGAACCATCCTGACATCTGTGCTTCAGCGTTGCTCAGAAACACAAAGCAAGCATTTTACTTGAAGACAGACAACTCCAAGTGACATGAATAACCTTTCATCTTCAACACAGAATCATTAGGAACAACCATAGAGTTGTCAATCCAGACGTCCCTGTAGAGTCCACAGACATCACACAGTCTTAACTTAGCTTTCGGTTCTGTAGCCAGAAGTTGGATTAATGTGAAAATGATAATTGGAGGAAATATACATATATATACATGTGTATATATATATAAAGACTTTCTTTCATATAAACATTTTCCAGGAAATAAATCAGCTTGTACTTTTCACCTTTAGTAACAAATGGTTTCTTACCCAGGTATTTTCAATCAGCTATTAAATCTGGGGCTACTCAGATCCAAGCTGACAGCTGTAATTTCTTTTTGTAGAGAGGCTATTTTATGTGTCACAAGTGTTCAATACACGTTTGATAGAAGTTTATAATGTGACTATGAAAGCCAACACCCCAGACCAGAAGGCAGAGCAGTTCCCTGGCTGGGAACTGCCAATATTGTCATGTCAGATATTTATCTTTTCCACTTGGGGGACAGCATTGAAACAGCTCCATAATGAGGTTCTGACTGGTGTCTGCAGGTCTTAGAGGACTTGCTGACTTATTTTACTTTAAAATGGCAAAGAAAAAAAATTACATTCTAGTACTCCTCCCTCAAACTTTTTTTTTTTCATAGTGACTTTGGCCAAGGTAATGCATCTTCACCTTGAATTACAAAATGAATGAAGGATGGTCCTCCTGTCCCCTCTTCCCTCCTGTTCATAAACTGAAGTGTGCTTCAGAATCACCTGGAGGGTTTGTTAAAATGCAGATTACTGAGACCCCACCCGGAGTCCCTGATTCCATAGATCTGGGGTGGGGCCCAGATTTTCATAATTTAAACAAACTCCCAGGTGCTGCTGGTTCTCTACGGACTACATTCTGAGAACTACCATGCTGGTGAAGTAGTATGTTAGAAAACTGGTTCAAAGTTACGTTATCACATGACCATACATTATTAGTGATTTTCTTTTGCTAGGGGCAAATGTGAGAGATCGAGAATAGTTCCTTCAGCGCATGATTAGTGTATCAGTTGGCCAATATGTGCTCATGGGTCAGCTTTATGTTGAGCCTCCTAACATGCTTGGCTTTTCCTAAAGTCTGCTCTGTATTTAGCAGAAGGTCGCGATGTGATGTTCCATATTAGGCGGGGAGGTTGACAAAATTCAGAAGCTCATAGAATATTTCATACGTATTTGCTGTGTTTCAAGGACTCTTAAAACATGAAGAAAACCTAAAATGCCATCTCATTCAGTCCCTGGCTTCCCAGCCAGAATCAAACTTGAATAAACGATCGTGCTCTTCCTCTGCCTAACCTGTTCTTAAGGAGGCTGCCGCGTACCTCATTGAACTGCCCTACTGGCGCTGAGGAACTCTCTGACTTTATACTTACTTGTTTTTTTATGTTTAGTCATGAGCTTCTTGCATCCAGGCCCATGTCTTCTTGTCGGGTCCTAAGTGGGGATAAAAAGCTGTTATCTTGGGCCTGGTTAGTTTGTGTTCTAGAAGACTGTCGCAAATAACCCCTCGCCTGCCTTAGTTTGGATTCATCCTGCTTCATTTATCTTTCCTATTTGTCACAGGTTTCCTCTCATAAAACAGCAGTTCTGGGATTGAGAGGGCCAGAATCTGAAAGAATTTTATATTTGAACATAGTCTTGGGGTCTTTTCCTGAGATATAGAGTTTTCCTCAAAAAGCCTCTGCAAGTAAATATTAGGAGGTTTAGTGGGCTGAACGTGATCAAAATTGTGTAAGGTTCTTGGTATATTTTATCACAATTCTGTTTGTCTGAAATTCTGCAATAAGATTATATTCATGAAATAAAATATATATGTATATTTCAGATTCTTTTCCATTACAGTGCATTACAACATCTCCCTTTAATCTTTTTATTTTTTATTATTTATTTATTTTGGGGGGGAGGAAATTAGGTTTGCTTATTTATTTTTAGTAGGAGGTACTGGGGATTGAACCCAGGACCTTGTATTGGTAAGCATGCACTCTACCACGTGAGCTATGTCCTCCCCTTGCTCACATCCATGATTTTTTTCAACCATTTCTAATATGGTTTCTAATAGATTACAAAACAATTACTAAAAGTAACCAAATTCTGTCAAAGCAACAAATTATGTCATCTGTTTACAAACTTTTTACAGAGGAAAACAGCCAAAAAATTCTCGTTTGGGGAAGAATGGCTATGTTTCTAACTTTGCATGATTTTGCACCCTCTGTTTAGTTAGGTTACTCAGACACTCGTGTTAATGAGGCCAAGGTCAGAGACTGATCACTGGGTAGACTGCCGAGCTTTGTTTTCCTCCACCCTGACCACTGTCTTGCAAATACTGGCTTTTGGTCACAGGAGGGAGGTATGTTCAGAACTGGGGAACTCTGATGTCAATAGACAGTCCAGGGAAGGCAGGACCCAGAAACTAGATGGGTCCAGCTGGGGTTCTCTGAAGGGCACAGCAATGGACTCTTAAGAAAACATCTGAACAGTGAGATTGGACGTTAAGGAAGCCTGTCCGGAAGTAAAATGTATGTGAGGAGGAAGTTGGTTTGTATTGTTAAGTGTGATAGCCAGTAGAGGAACCCAGGCTTGGAAGCTAGGGTGCAGGGGCAGGAATCTAATCTCTGGGAGGCTGAAAAAAACAACTATCTTAATAATAATAATTAATATTTAATAAGAACTATTAATAGACGAGTAGTTGTGCTAAGGTACTGGACTAAGACCTCGGTAGGACTTACTCATCGAATACTCACAGCAACCCTGTGATGTGGACACTATTACTATTCCCATTTAACAGATGAAGAAAATACAGCACAGAGGGATCAAGTAAGTTGCTCAAGGTCACACAGGTTATCATGGAGCACCAAGAAGTAGGTGCACCATTATCCTTAATGGCTGTTTTATAAATGAAGAAATGGAGGCCCAAAGATACTAAGTTTTCATAGGAATGAATGGGAAAGCCAGGATTTGAAATGCAGCTTAGTGACCCCAGGACCCTTTCTTTCACTCTTTGCCTCGGAGTAAATGACTCTCATATGACTGACTTATTGTAGGGAGCTGTAAATGAACGAAGAGGACAGGGCCTCATTACTGAAGTGCAGTCTGAAGTTAGAATTCAGTAATTAGAACAGGTGGGACAGGCAGACATCCAGCAAGGCCAACATGGTGTTGGGCTCCTAATCCAGGTGACTTTAAAGTCTCCCTGACCAGGAAAAGAGTCTGTCCGGAAGTGGGGTGGAGCTGATGCTACAGGCGAAGTGGATTAAATAGAAAGTGAAGAAATTTAAGGAGTAAAAATAAGATAGTAGAAAGCAAGACAATGTGAATGGAATTTCATCTATATTGGGAAATAAGAGCTTATACTCCCTATAGGAAGACAAAATGATAAAAAAAATTGTCATCTTTGAATAGAAAACACCTGGCAACCCATGGCATTACCTTCTATGACATGAGAAATACCATGTCATGAGACTAAATAACTAAGATGTGTATTTGGAAAGTGAATTTTGTTAAATCCCTTTAATTTCAGCAATCATTCCGTCCAAGATTCCTTGGTGTGGCTGAACAGTTACACAATGAAGGCTTCAAGGTATGTGATATTATTTTTTTTAAGTTCTCTGTCAGCATTCTATCCCCTAAAAAGAATCTTAGGGACTGAAATAGTCCAAAATGTGATCCTTCCACCTGAAAGGTGTAACTACCTTGAAAGTTTCAAGATTTCAATGGAATAAAATCATTAGAAAGACTAGTTTTAAGTTTTAACAAAATTACTACAAACTCCAAAGAATTTGCCAACTAAATAAAACCTTAGGGAGTTTGGCGTGTACAGAATTGGGAGAAAGTTTTAATGCATTCCATATATTTTTCCCTTTTTCCTTTTCATGCTTCCATATGAAGTCATAGTTTCCAGCTGTTACAGTCACAGGCAAAACTTCTTTGCCGTAAATATCTCCACACAAAGCCTGGTTCTGTAAAACAGAATGATTCCCAAGGCTCCGGGTAGGTCTGTGCTCATGAGGCTTTGTTGGCCTGATAACAGTGAATTCCCAGCCATCAGTAATTCTTTATTTTTCTCCTCTACAAAAGCAGTTACAGTTGAGGTTATTAAGTGTTTTCTTACTGCAAATATTTAAAAATTATTTAACATGCCCACGACTCCAGATACTGAGTCCAAATCTCCGTTCACGAGATGCAACGTGAATGGCATCTCCTATTCACCAGTTTTCTTCTGCTCTGAGTTTTAAATGACAGTGTGTCCCAGTAGGCTTCTTCGATCCATGAAAGCTTTCCCCATGATACAATAACCGACTTTTCCATTTTAAACGCAGCTCTTTGCCACGGAAGCCACGTCAGACTGGCTCAATGCCAACAACGTCCCTGCCACCCCAGTGGCGTGGCCGTCTCAAGAAGGACAGAATCCCAGCCTGTCTTCCATCAGAAAGTAAGAACTAGGCAGAGTTTCCTGAGATAACAAAATAAATGGAGGATTAACTTTGGGAATTAGTATGATAGATAAAGTCTTCCAAAAGTTCTCTTAGTCAACCAACTTAAAAAGAGTAAATTTGTGAATGATAGTAAAGCTTTATTCTTGTGAACTTCACTATTACTATAAAACACTATGCCATATGTGTACATGGTGACATGTAGCATCTTTCAGAATACTTCCTGGTAAGGATCCTTTCCTTGACTGGCACCAAGTTCTCAGGATGAGAACTATGGGCATGAAGAGTGCAACACAGCACTTTGTATTTTGCGTCAACCTTCTGTTGTCCATATACGTGTATGGCAAGTGTAAGATTGACCAGCTGCACTTCCCTGCGGTTGTGCATCAATGAACCAATTTATGGAGGACTTGCTACATGCAGGACACTGTGGGGAGTGCTATAATAACGTCATCTGTAGAATTACCTAATTCCTATTCTTTAATCAGGTTGGTTATTAAGCCTTAGTATACATCATCATTGGGTTTTGTAAAACATTATTTCAGCGCCATGTAAGCCTCAGGAACACCATTACATCAATACTTCTAGAACTATGTGGCATAGGTACCTAGGAGATCATTCTCATTTGCTCCAGGATTTAACAGCCTGCTGAACAGCTAGGTCATACCAAATTCTATGTGATATACTATTTCTTAGGGCTCTTAAGAAAGTAACCTACAAATCCTTATCAAAGTGATTTAAAAAAAAAGGCCAAATTGTTCAGAACTTAGTAGACTTCCAGTGATGCTATGAGCCCTTGTTTAGGGCTTTGTAAAACAATAATTAGCCTGCTTCCTGTCTCTGACATTTCAGCGTCTCCTAGTGTGTGTAGCAGCCCAGCAACAGAACGTGAAATGGCTGAATTCTAAACCAGACGACTTGTATTTTCAAACCATCAGCTGAAGCCCAGGGAAGCAGGCAGTGAAGGAGTTAATCTGGGAGAGGGAGTGTGAGGGTGGACTGGCCTTCAATGCTGGAGGAATCACCTCCTTGTAAAATAATTATCAAATCCCCAACGCTTGCTATGGACAGATAGCATTTTAAAGAGAAAACAAATGTTTCTTTCTGATTAGTTAGACATTCACCAGAATTCTTTCAAAAATACAATACAAAATTATAACCCCTAAATGTGTGTAATTTGGACATTTACTTAGGAACAGAGGAGGGCAGGTGTCAGTCAGCTCAGTATGGCATTGTCTTGGATGGCTGAGTAATTTACGTCAGTATTTTAAAACTAATTGTAAAATATATATAGTCCCCTATAAGCTTGTGTTTATTTTGTTTATTCTTCTAGATTGATTAGGGACGGCAGCATTGACCTGGTAATTAACCTCCCAAATAACAACACTAAATTTGTCCACGACAATTACGTGATCCGCAGGACAGCTGTTGACAGTGGAATTGCCCTCCTCACTAATTTCCAGGTGTGTTCTTTTCCTCCACGGTAGCCCACGTGAGGATTTTAATTTCTGTGCCTCCCTTAAGAGTGGCTCTCCCTCCACGTGCCTCTCTGTTCTCCCCTTCTTGTAACTTTGGGAGTGGGGACAATTTTCTAAATCGAATCTAAAATAATGGTCTATTATGGTAGGTCGTGGCCCAATTGAGACAGCTGGTGACTGAGCAGTTGAGATAATCATAAGCTGTGGAAAGCCCTGGTTCTCTCATTACCCCTACGATTATCCTTTAAGTAAAAGGTGTGCGGCATGGAATAAAGACACAATTTTATTCCATTGTTCCTAAATGAAGGCCACTGTGTAAAAGCAACAGGTTAATGATCATTGAAGATCCAGATACAGTGAAAGCATGTGTCCAATTCGTAGGCAGTGATTGCAGGAGGTACGTTCAGTTCTACCTGGACGTGACCCACCAAATTTATCACAAGGAGAAGAACCATTTGCCAAGACTCATTACTTTCTGCCCATCCTATTTTACCCCTTTGCCTGAGTCAGTTTTAATCCCCGTGCAGGGGGTAGGGGAAAATAAACTTATTCATGTTGAGGTCTGAGATGCAGGAGAAAGTCCCCATTAAATAAAAATGTTTGGGTCTTTCATCCCATGCCCCTTTGAAAACTGGGAACAGAAACTTGACTTTTCATTCTGGCTGCATTAAACATTCACTTTCATATCGTATGCGTTGCTAAGATTCCTACCCTTATGTTTTCAGGTGACCAAACTTTTTGCAGAAGCTGTGAAGAAATCTCGCAGTGTGGACGCCAAGAGTCTCTTCCACTACCGGCAGCACAGTGCTGGAAAAACGGTCTAGGAAAACACATGTCCCTTCTCCATCCTCAAATCAACCCAAGCCCCTTTTTCTCTCAACGAACTGACTGCCCACTCTCTTTCCCAGAGATGAATACTGACATCAGACTTTATTGCAGTTTACTTAGTTATGCCTCCAGATTCTTTTCTTTCACAATTAAATGGTCAGTCACTTTTTGGAAACCTCACTTAGAGAGTCCTTCCTGAGAAACTTGTTCTTCGCGAGAATTCCTTTATCTACTAATGCCTTGTTTTTGGTGGGCTAAGCTTCCCAAGTGCGTCTTTGCAGCTAATGTTTCATGGTGCTGATTAATGATGATCAAGGTAGAAAAAGTCGCCGCTCTGTCTTCTGAACTCTTTCTATATATATTTTACAGACACTACTGTCATTGTTTTTAAGCAGCATCTGCCACGCTCAGGACACTTTAACAAGGCAGAATACTATAAAAATTGTTAACGTGCAGTATGGATTTAATTTATGAACTCCTTCATCGTGACGTTTGTGTATTGCTTCTTTTTAATAATCATTCTATCTGGCTCATCCAGGAATATCATTATCTCCTCCCACAGGGCTGAATTCGAGAAGTGTGACAGAGGTCTCTAAAGTATGGATTTTTTTAAAGGACACTGGTTTGCAGTTTTGTGTTTTGTAGTATGTCAGCAGATGGTGGATACCGCTGAGGTGGTTTTATTCTTGTTTTTCTTTGGATTTTTAACCTGAGCCAAGTGAATTCTTCAGATTTATGCCATCTCTGCTGCCTGCTCCCCCTTCCTGCCAACTGTGGAATAACTCGGAAGTTATGTTCATCCCTTCAGATTATAGATTCTGTTGATCTACTGAGTCCCACACTGCAATGTGACTTTTCCGCATTTTAAGCACAAGGCGCTCATTCCTTCTACATACGGAAAAGTCCTTCCTACTGGGCAGCCTTTGTCGCTTTTAAACTTTTTGTGATATAAGTGCTCTAATTCTGAACTTTTAAATAAAATATTACTAAGAGGCAAGACACCTGTATTCTTGCATTTCTTGACTCATTTATTTTTGCATTGATACATAAAATCTGTTCGCTTCTCTGATGCAAAGGGGTTTGAGGCTAGTATTGTATCTTTTTTTTCTTTTTCTATACGAAGTCATATAAGGTATGAGCAAATTAAAAATAATGAAGTTTAAATTGTTACATTTTTTTCCTTCTCCTGCCCCTTGCTTGTAAATCTCACTTAAAAAATTACTATCTTTTTGTGTAGTTTTATATTACCTTTGATCTGGATCCTCTCAAATACATAGTTACAATCACACCCTTACCAAAGATTGCCAAACATATATAATAAATTAACCTTCTAAAAAGTGTCCTGCATAGCACAGAGAAAAGTACTTACACCCAGTCAGAGGCTGACCCATGTTTTCTGATAATGCTAATGGCCATGTGACACCATGTCCCAGAAATACCACCTAGAACGTGGCTTTGTGAAGTTTCTAAGATAATGAGGACATAATAGCTTTTTTATCCCTCCTCTTGATATGGATCTACATGAAGGCTTTTCAGATTCATTTTCTCCTTCTTTCCCCCTTGTAATCACTGTGGTTGAGACCTTTATTTCTTCTTCCCCACAATATTATATTAATGTGTTCTCGGATCATCCATTGGTTCACCTGAACATATTTAATGAGTTTCTGTAATTTTGGGTGTAGAATATGCTATGACCCCTCCTACTCGTATTATTCTAGTACTTTTCTGATATTACATTACTTTACTATATTACAGCACCACCGTACCACCAGCACCATTATAAGAAATAACCAACATTATGGCATACCTGCTATTCCTCAAGCAGTTCTAAGTCACTTAGATGACTTAACTCATTTAATCCTCAAAATATCTCTAGGACGAGGTACTGTCATCTCCAGATTATAAAGAAAGAACCTGAAGCATACAGAAGTTAAGCAACATGCCCAGGTTAACACAAAATGCAGTTTCATTTTTTAAAATCTTGTATTCTAATGAAGACAGACATGTAAAAAAGTCATTTCTTACAGTGAAGAGAGTACTTCACTTGCTTGTGAAGATCAGGGAGAGGCTTTTCTGGGGAGCTGGCCTCAGGTGTTGTCTTGCACAGTGTGTTACAGTCCCCCAGGTAGGTTAGAGGGTAAGTACATTCATCTGAGGAAGTCACAAGCAGACTGGTCTACCTGGAGCTCAAGGCAGGTGTGGAGAGAAAGGGCTAAGGGCAGAGGTTGAGCCTGACATCTTAGCTGTGCATGTTTAAACCCCATAGAAGTTTTAAAACTTTTAATTTGGAAATAATTGTGGACTAAAAAATTGTAAAAATAAAAATAGTACAACCTTTACCCAGATTTACCTATTGGTAATATTTTATCCAATTTCATTTATTATTGCTCAATCTGTTCTCTATCAGTCAATCTATCACCTATCTCTCTGTCTAAACACACACATATAAACACTCAGAGGAAGAGAAAAATTACACTTTGATTAAAAGTACACTGCTAGTGACCAATTTAGAAATGTAACTCATAATTTGAAAAAAATAGAATTGCTTGCTGAGGGTGCCAAAAGTTTAAAGCAATAGTTAAGTTTTGTATTGTGGAAATTTAATAAAGGCTCTCAATATTTATATTAATTTGAACAGGATATTTGTAAAATAGAGTAAAATGATAAAAGTAATAATAATTAATCAAGCAGCACTGTTTCTAAATAATCCCTATATTTTTGTTCCTGAAATAAAAGATCTTTGGAAAACAGAAGACACTATACACTCTCTCCATGGTGCTGAAAGTGAAATTATATTAATTTTTGTTTCTGTTACCTTTGTGTTTACTAACGTTCCAAACTTTAAGAAGAATTAAACATAAGTAAATAACACATTCAAGTTTTGATTGGAGGAGGGAAATGCAAGAAAATGAAAGTAAATTTGTGTTCAGATTTGGCAAGTCTTTGTCCTTTTGGAACATTTTTATTCTTCTCTATAAACAGTTTAACACATTTTAAAATGTCTGAATCTGTTATATATCACAGGTGAAGACAACATAGGGGTTATGTCCGTAGAACTGATTAGAAATCGAAGTAGCTTTTTCCATGCTGAGGACTCAATAGCATGCGAGGAGGACCAGCCCTGCTGGGTGGGGTGGAAAGGAGCTCAGGCAGCTTGTGAAATGAAGAAGAAAAAAGGGTTAAAGAATGATCCGGTTAGAGATTTAGAATTTTATGGCTTTGGAAAGGTTAGTAGAATATTTTAACTGCACTTCTGTCAAACTTTCCTCTTAAACAGCCTTCCTACGGGAAACTTTTAAAAACAGCTACTACATTCATTTATCTCAACAGCTGCAGGTACTTGAACCTAAGCGTCTACAGTGTCCACAGCCTCCTCAACAATGGAAGTGGAAATTATCAGAGAAACAAACCGGGGCTGAACGTGGCTGAGTGCTCTGTAATTACACACCAGCATTACCATTTGGCTGCTGGGGTGGCCCCCCCGCCGGCACAGGTGCTATAAATGCTCACATACACCCAATCAGATCCACAAGGACCTTTCATTACCTATCATTTGAGACACCCTTAGCTTGAAAAAACTAGCGTAACTTTATTCCTTTCCCTTCTTTCTCTTACTGCTTCTTATTTTCCTTTGTTCTTATATATAAAACTTCTGTTTTTCCTAATGAATATTACTGTGCTGCTATTTTATGAGATGCTGTTGCAATTGGTGAGCATGAGGGGAATGTGGCAGGAGGAAGAATGTCTATCCTTCTCCTGAGTGGCTCCCTGGGCTCTGTGAAAAATTGGCAATAATTGTCCCTACTTTTTCTCTTGTGCATAATGTAGGGTTCATGGGTTCCAGAAAGAGACTTTAAGTACCTACAGCTGTTGAGATCAATTCAGTGATGGGGGAAAAAAAAAAAAAACCTTCAGCAAGTCAAAATTAGCACCATTTGTGAGTGTTCCTTGTTGCTAAAAGATCATTTTTTGAGTCTTTACAACTTTCATTTTATAAAGGATTTGTATTCACAAAGAAAACTATTAATTGTTGACCAAAACAAAAAACAGGCTTTTCTGGTAAAGGTTCGCTTTCTCTTTCTTGAAACTACTAGCCTAGCTAATTATTTCTTTAAGGTGTTTCCTAGAAGAAATACACAAACCCCAGAGAAGTCTTTTGTTCATCAAAGGAAGCAATACCAGCAGTCTCAAAAAAAAAAAAAAAAAAGTCAAAGATGCTATGTTCCCAAATGACAATTTCCCACACAAAGCTTAGTGCTATTGGCAGCCACAAGGAAGACAGACAAGATATCAATATGCAGAAAAGAGAGTCCAAAAGCACAAAACATATTATTAGAAAAGTGAAATAACTTGAAAATGTATGTATTTTATTAATAAAAATACATTCTCATATCCCGTGTCTAGATAACTATATTTTCCCTTCTGAAATTCAAGTGCATTCAGTAATCGTCTTGAGTCTCTGATCTACCTGCCTATGCAAGATCCTAAAGATGAAATATGGCAGGGCTTTGAGGTAATTAGCATAACAGAAATATTCTGCTAAGTGTTTTCCATAATCCTTCACAAATTTCCACATAAAATGTTGCAAATGAAATTTATATGGAAGAATTTAATTAGACTGTAACATTTATTTTAATCTCTCCGTTCAAGAAAATTTACATATGGATCCTTTTTAAAGAATGTTTTCTAATTAAATTGAAGACGTAATGTCATATTATTTACCAGGTTTGATATACTTTCTTTCCACTCATAATTAAAATATATAGGGAGCTACAGGGGAAAAATGGTATTGTTGCAGTTAAGATGTGAGAGAGTAGGAGGTTTAGGATTTTTTTTTAAACCACAAGGCACAAGTATTTGATGTAAACGAGGCTCATGCTTTATTTGTTATTTCAAAATAAGATAAAGCAATACTGAATTGACTTTCTCAACAGTGAAGGGGCCTCCCGAGCGAAAGAATTACCTTGTGCTAAATTTGTCATTACCTGCCTTGGGGTACTATGTGAAGTGCTGTTTTCCACAGAAGTAACTCATTCGTGCTAGCGTCCAGTTCTCTTGAAATCTGTGCATCTCTGGGGCCCTCGGAATTTATGAATGTAAACACCTGGTACTTTGTAGACTGAGTCATCAAGGAGTGGTGCCTGGCTTACCCTATTTGAGTGTTGCTATGCTCATCTCTCTGGAAACCTATTTTCAGAAGGACATGAAACACAGTTCTTTGGCTTCCATATTTGTACTAATGTCCATATGACAAAGATGCTTTTAATCAATGATGGTTTTCTTTGATCCAATGAGGTTACTCCACTGTAAATAATTGCAGATCATCTCAGTACCCATTTTCTTCAACCTGAAACCTAGAGATGAGCGAATCGCAAGTCTCTGATACTTATACGGGTCTATGGAAGGTAGGGACATGTTTGTCTTATTGACTATTACATCCGTGTTATCTAAATTATAACAGATGTTCAAAATTATTGAATCTGAAGGGAGGGTATAGCTCAGTGGTGGAGTGCATGCTTAGCACGCATGAGGTACTAGGCTCAATCCCCAGTACCTCCATTAAATAAATAAACAAATAAATAAATAAATAAACCAAACAGATTACACCCCCCCCACAAAAAAGCCCCACAAAAAACAGAAATAAAAAGAAATAAAATTCAATAGCTATTTAAAAAAATAACTATTGAATCCATAGAATTTTGATTCTAAAAATGATTGTGGTAAGAAGTGTTTGACCAGAATGATCACGTTCCCATCCTCCCTTTGAGTTACAGGTTCCCATCTCCTCCCTCAGCTACAGGGACCTTGATCCAGTTTACACTGGGCCCCAGTC